AGAGAGAGAGAGAGAGACAGAGAGAGAGAGAGCCAGCCAGCCAGAGATAGATGGAGAAAGAAAGACAGAGAGACGGAGAGAAGCCAAGGTATGGAGGTGAGAGGTAGGGGTGGGATGGGAGGGCAGAAGGGCTCAGTACGGAGTAGGACAGGAGTCCAGATTGGGGTCAAAGGGGCCATAATGGACAGGATAGAAGAGCAGGATGAGGAAGACCTGAACAGCGTGGAAGTGAGGATACACGAGGAATGTGTCCTAAGTGAGGCAAGTGGAGAGGTGGGGAGGGCACAGGAGGGGGGCAAGGGTGACTTCTCACTCACCGGCAGCTGCCTCAGGTCCCAGGTCCTGGGAAAGAGGCGTGCACTGCACCTGGAGACCTTCAGCTGGAGCTTCTTTTCCTGGACAGCAAAGGTGCGGGGTTAGCCCAGTCTGGGGTGGGGTAGCTCATAGCAGACAGCAAGAAGGTTAGCCTGGCAGGAGGGCTCCATTTGAACCAGTAGTAGGAGATAATCACAGAGGAAAAGCCTGGAGGCTACTCCACAGCAGCAAGGGCAGAGGTTAGACCACAGGCCAGCAGCTTGATCCCAGCAGGCTGCATGGAGTTTCGTCCACAGCCACAGCCACAGCCACAGCCACTCACCAAGGCATCCTTCGCCTTCTTGAAGGCCTCCATCTCCCGCGGTGACACAGGTACAAACCTCTCAAGGTGGCAGACTTTCCGGGCTGTGGTGGGCTTGGCAGTGGGAACAGGGCCTGCCGTGGTCAAACCCAGCACCACAGGTCCCAGGAGCCACACAGGGACCATTGTGACCATGGCTAGGTGGCAAGTGCTTTCCCAGCCGCATGGCTGTGCTTTATATCCAACGCTGAGTACGCAATCGCTGATGAGGCATCTAAAGTGAAAGGATTAAGGTGAAAGTAACTTTTCAAGCACGAATGGGTGAAGCAGGGTTAGTGAGCAGGTATGGCTGAACCTGAAACTATACCTAGAAGGAAAGAGAAACTGAAATTCAACCCCAAGAGCCTCTCAATCTCTTATAAGACTTCCTTGGCAACCTTCAGTTTGCTAGTTCCGAGACTGAGGGTGAGGTTATTGCAGGCAGCCGAGTTAGATAAAAAAATATTATAGGCGGCCGGGCAGGGTCAGGCCCTCGAAGGAGACAGCACAGAAGATGAGCTGCCTTACACCTGTGGGAGGGGCGGATGCTCCTGCTGTGAACCAGCCCTAAAGACCTAAAGGCCAAACAAATGCTAAACGAGTAGCACCTGGGATTGATATTCTAATAGGTATCAATCACCTGGAAAGACCCAAATGAGTCACTAGCCCAACCCCCAACAGAAAGAGACCCTGTCCCATATGTAATCCCATTGGTTGACCATAGTTTTGTCCCACCTCCTGCCCACCTAAGTGAGTTCCCATTCTCTCTACCTTAGCCTCACATGGTTTTACACTATAAAAGTCCCTGGAAGAGACAGCTTCCCGGGGAACTACCCGCTCGGGCCCACCTCCTGTCCCTCTGTCGGGAGCTTTCTTTCTCTCAATAAATATATTCTGTTCATAACCTCCGTTTGTTCCTAACATTCATTCTTCGGTTTTAGAGAACACGAACTCATACAGGTAGGTCGGGAGATTGTTTTTCTCTGTGTCATTTGGAGGTTCCTTGTATGGTTTGGAGGTCACCCACCCGAGACCAGTTTTTCTCCCTGTATCAAGGTAAAGGACAGGAATGGGACTGGGACTGGGACTCTCGCAGTGTGTGGTGGGTAACTTGGGGTGTGTGTGTGTGTGTGATAGAGGGGAATGAAACTCCCAACCTGAAAGACACCTGGGCTGAATTCTTGTTCTCTAAAACCAAAGAATGGGGCTGGTGAGGTGGCTCAGTGGAATAAGAGCTTGCTTGGCAAGCGCAAGGGCCTGAATTCAATCCCTGGGTCCGCAGTTCTTTGTCTTTGGGGGCTGGGGAAATGGCTCAGTAGAATAAGCGCTTGTCTGGCAAGCACAAGGGCATGAGTTCAATTCCCAGTCCCGCAATAAATAAATAAATAAATAAAACCAAAGAATGAATTTTAGGAACAACCGAGGTTATGAGCAGAATATATTTATGGGGGGAAATAAAGCTTGGGTCTGATAAGGACAGGAGGGGGACAAGAGCGCGTTGCCCCCAAAACTGTCTTTTCCAGGGATTTTTTAAAAAATTATATTGAGAAATAAATATGAATGAGACAGTTTCACAGGTAATTAATAAGACAGTTTTGATAATCAATACACTGTACATTGTTATCTTCTTCGTGGTTATCCACAGCACAAGAAGCAGACAGGATATTCTGTCCAAACACTGTTAGTACACCTCTTTCTTCTCATTTTCCAGGGATTTTTATAGAGCATGTGGAGAGGCGGGTCTGAGGTGAGCATGGGAACTTGCTAGGTGGGCATGAGGTGGGACAAAACTATGGTCAGCCAATAAGATTACAAGCACAACTGTTCGGGTAAAATTGATTAAATCTAGGACCAAATGGGAGAGTCATGTAGCAAGGGGGCATGAATAGAGAACTGGGGTTTGGGCCTAGGGAGATGGCTCAGTGGAATAAGCACTTCCCTGGCAAGTGCAAGACCTGAGTTCAATCCCCAGTTCCACCCTCCCCTCCCCCCCAAAAAAAGAACTGGGGCTTTTCCTGTAAGGGGCTGGGTTAGTGACTCTTTCTGGGGTCCTCTAGGTGAGAGGCCTATTTAGAATATCAATAGCGATGGCTATCCTTAGGGAGGTATGCATTTGTTTGATCTTTTGTCTTGAGGTCTGGCCCACAGCTGGGGTGTCTGTCTCTCTCACAGTTGCGAAGTATCTGGCCTTTCATACTGGCTGCTTCTGAAGGCCTGGCCCTGTCTGACTGCCTATAATATTTTTATCTAACTCAGCTGCCTGCAACATGCGGATGAGGCTGCCTGGCTGACAGAGAGAAAGCTTCTGCTATTCAATTGAAGTATGTTCCTGGCACTCAGGGAGGCCAAGGCAGGAGGAGAACCTGTTTGAGCCCAGCCTGGGCAACTTAGTGACTTAGTGAGATCCTGTTTCCAAAAGCAAAATAACAAGAACAACAACAAATTAAGTGGTGGTACAGCTCAGTGCAAAAGCCCTGAGTTCAATCCCCAGTATTGGGGTTGGGGGGCAGCAGAGGAAAGGGGAATTCACACTCTCTCTGCTAAGTAGGGGCCCCTTGTTCTCCTGTCCGTAGACATTGGCACTTCATGTTTTCTGGCCTTTTGATCCCAGGATATGAGCCATAACTCCCCCTGCCCCCAGGTTCCCAGCCCCACCCCTCACAGGGAAGCTTATACCATTGGCTGTCCTGATCCGAGGTCACCGTGTACCTGCCATATCAATTCTCTCTGGGTCTAGAAGAGAGGAGAGACCCTCAAACTTTAATCTACCATGCGGGAGACTCTTAGTTCAGAGAGGAGAGTCCTAGCTCTCTGTTCTCATCCCAGCCTTTATCCTTTGCTCTTGTGTTTACCTCTGCCTCTGTGCATTTGGTTTAGCGGCTTGAATTAGTTCCTAACCTCCCTGGGCTATTTTCTTTTCTTTTACATTTCTAAACTTAACTGGTGACCTGTCCAGCCATCCTTATCTCAGGCTTCTCTGTCTATTTATAATAAGGAAACTAAGCTGTTACAATATCAGCAGTGTCTCTGTGTCCCCAGTTTGCAGATGGCCTATTGTGGGATTCCTCAGCCTCTTTGTAATCATACAAGCCGCCGATATATTCCCATAATAAGTAACTGTCCCATAGTTAGACATAGTGACGGGGCTACATTTCAGGAGATCCGTTGCTAATGAATTTTGTTGTGTGAACATCTTAGAGTGTACTTGCACAAAGGAAGGTGCCTACAAAGAGCAGTCAGGAAATAACCATTTCTTCCAGGGCAGTGTCTCACTACATGGCTGAAGTCCACCTGTCTCTGCTTCCAGGTATTGGGATTACAGGTGCCCATCACCATCTGGCACGTTCCGGATCATGGTTGGGCAATGCACCCCTGTGTATGCGACGCTTTGCTCTTTCTAGAGAACTCTGACTAAGGCACCAATCATCCTTATTTTACTGATGATGTAACTGAGGCCCTGGTGGCGCTACCAGGCCTGGGGGGTGTGCTCGCCCTGTTTTCTGTGCCCCATTGCAGCATAGTACAGTAGGAAGTCCTCAGCTCTGTGGACAGCCTGGCATGGGTAGGGAGCTGTTAGGGGCTGGAGGGGCAACCTGGGGAGCAGGAGTGAGAAGGCCCTCCACCAGGAAGGCAGAGGAAGCGGCTGATTGCTTGGCTTATTGTCACCCTGAGATATTAACAATTGTGTAGCAGGTAAGAAAATTACTCTGATATGCAGGCATCCTTGTGTTTTTTATTCCTTCCTTTTTTTTTTTTTTAAAGTCCTTCCCTGCAGAGAGTTATTAATCATACTCTTCAGCTCATAACACAGCATCACAATTGGTCCATAAAAGACCTGCTAGGGTTTAAAGCCCTCTCCCCCAATTCCCACCCCACTTGTCCCCCTCACCGAGACCCACTTTAATGCACTTGATATATAGCTACAAAGATGCACCTTTTTAATTCGTGACTTTGTGTGTATATGTGTTCCCAATTTACATAAGTGAATGAGAAGAGATTGTGCCATAAATCTACTTCTTCCTTAAAAAAAAAAAGAACCCAAAACCCACAGCGCTATATTTCTGAGATCTCTCCATATAGCTGAGGACATCGAGTTCCCCATTTCTCACTGCTGTGTTATGGTCCAGAGTGCGCCCACAGTGCCTCTACTTCCCCACTCCCTCAGAGATGGACACTCAGGTTGTTCCCAGCTCTATTGCCAGAAGGCTCACACCTGTCCTCTGGGTGGGAGGTTTTCCAGAATATACTGTAGCGCACCAGCTGGTGCCTTCCTACCACATCGGATCCCCTCCGCTCACACTGGCACTCACTTTGAGCTGCAGTGGGCAGTTCCACCATGCCCACAGCTTCCCGCTTTGTGTGTCTGGAGCTTTCTGCTTCTCTGGTGGAGTCTGAGGCCTTTCTACTGTCTGCATGCAGAATACACTAAAAGTAGCTGGATATGGTGGTGCACGATTATAATCCCAGCACTTGGGAAGCTGAGGCAGGAGGATCCCTATGAGTGCAAAGCCAGCTTGAATTACATAGTGAGTCCCAATCTCAAAGGAAAGGAAATAAAAGTGAAGCAAAATAAAACAGACTAAGAAGTGCCAGAACTAGGGGCTGATAGCTCAGTAGAGATAGCTTAGTAGGATAAGTGCTTGCCTGGCAAGTGCAAAGCCCTGAGTTCAATCCCTAGTACTACACACACACACACACACACACACACACACACACACACGATGATGTAACTCTTTATAATTTTTTTTAAACAATTATTTATTTATTTATTTATTTATTGTGTGTGTGTGTGTGGCCAGCTCAGCCCACCTGGGGGCGGGGCTGGCATGTGGTGCTGGGGGATTGAACCGCGGTCCCTGTGCTTTGCCAAGCTTGTTCCAAGTAGGTGCTTTAGACCACTGAGTCATCTCGCCAGCCCATGATGTAACTCTTTTTTTTTTTTTTAAAAAGAAGTACCAGAACTGATTGCTCAAGGAGCAATTCCCAGCAGGGAGAGTTAGGAGCCTGGGAACAAATACTGTGGCTTCCCTCTTGCTCAGTGGGTCAACATTTTTTTTTTTTTTTTAATTACTAGAGGTTGCCCCGCAAGCCTCACATATGCTAGGTAGGTGTTCTACCACTAAGCTACATTCTCAGACCTTATTTTA